TTTTATCATTTAACAATGACTGAATTCACATTGTTTTGACCAAAAGTCAATTCCATCTCAAGAAACCCTTTCTATGCTCATCCATAAAAAGTAATTCCTCGTTTGTTAAAGTTTCCTCATGAGATTGCAGTAATTTAGTCACATCATCAGACCCCACTGCTAAATCTAGTTGTCTTGTTATTTTTACCACATCTCCAGTTACTTGGAATCACCTTCTTGATTGGAAAGTGATTTGAATTTGGTGATTTCTTGGTTGAAATCATCTTCTTCCACACTACTGTTAATACTGATATTTTGATTCTTCTCATATGTCACTAACATTCTTAATAGCATCAGAATGTGAATCCTTTCCAGAAGGTCTTCAATTTACTTTGCCCAGATCCATCAAAATACAAATGAAGCTCATTTTGTGCTCACAGATATTTCTTGAAATACTTTTCTTTACTCATTGAGTTGTCTTGGCATCATTGCTGAAAAGAAATTAAACATGTATCTGTGAATCTATTCATGTACTGTCGGTTCTACTTCATTGACATGCCAGTATGATTTTCACCAAAACCAAACTATTTGGATTACTATTCTTTATAATGTCTTGAAATCAGGTAGGCTGAATCCTCCACTTTATTCTCTTTAAAAATTGCTTTGGTCATTTATAATTTTTTATGTTTCTTGATAAATTCTAGAGATTCAGATCATCGATTTCTACACATACTTCTGCTGAAATTCTGAGTGCTATTGTACTGCGTTTATAGAAGATTTGGGGCACAACTACCATCTTAAAGCTATTGAGTTTCCTAATTTGTAAACATGATAAAGTCTTTGATTTCTTTAATTTTTGCCAGCACTGTTTTTGGACTTTGTGGTGCAGAGGCCTTGGAGATCTTCAAGAAATCAAAACTACAAGCCACTGACTAGAACTTATTATTTAAAATCATCTTCTTTCCATGTGTGTTCCTGTCTCTTCACCTGACTTTCCCTTTACTTGTATAAAAACACTGTGTATATTGTACTAGGGGCCTGCAGTACTCCAGTATGACCTCACTTTAACTAAAGTTACTACTGACAATGACCCCATTTCCAAGTAACTTTCCATTCTTAGTTACTAGAAATCATGACATCAAATCTTCATACCAGAGATATGAATTGTGGGGGGCACAAGGCAACTGAATAACATATGGCAAAAAGGAACTTTGCAGATGTGATTAATTCATGGATCTTGAAATGGGACGATTGTTCTGGATTATCTAGGTAGACCCAATATAATGATAAGGCTCCTTATAAAGGGAGATGGTAGAGTCAGAATGAAAAAAGCAATGTGATGAGGGAATGAGGACATACGCCCTTACACTGTGTCCCTCAGGTGAGAGCACACCATTCCCCTTTTCTCCTAGTCCTCGCCCTCTCTCCTTCCCTCTTACCCTTCCCTGATGCCCCCACTCACTTTAAGTTAATTGTGTTTTTCTCATACAGGGGTGTGTAGCTGTTCATCAACTGGTTTTATATTAGTATGGAGTACATTTTTGTTATACTTTACAAGGACAATCTTCTTTAACTCCATCCAGGCTAATACAAAACAATTTTTCAAATGTTTGTTAGCCATTCATCTGTCTTCTTCTTTAAACAGGTCCCCTGAATTATTCTACTGAATGATATCAACATAAGTCCACTTGTTCAACTCTCTTTCCCCCATCTCCAGCGTTCAGTATGAATTTCATTTTCCATCCTTTTTTTCTAGGTACTATTTTGGGGGCCTGGGTCCCTACAGCCTTTGCTGGGATCTGCACTAAAGGCAGCTGATGTGAGAAAAACTCAGACTCAGTTATTTCAGGTGAAATAACCAATAGGAGCCTGTGAGAGGCACAGACAAAGCCAGCAGCATCTCAAGTGCAGCCAGCAAGTGCAGCACTGGGCCATTCTCCCATAGGTCTCTTTATTCAATCATCAATCATCAATCAAGTTGACAGTAACTTAACTCAAGTTATTCAAACAAGGTGCCTTAGGTAACTATTACCAATCACAAGGAGGGAAACAAAGGTAGATACAGTATAGATTTCGGGTTAGCCTGACATTTTTGCTCATCTCTGCACAAAGACCTTGTGAGAAACCCAGTTTCCTGTGTGAGGAAGTAACATCAGAATGCAGGAACTACACGAACACACTGCTGGGTGCTCAGAGGCAGTGAATTCAGAGTTTGAGGTAGCACAGAGCTCATTGGTGCAGTGGGGCACAAGCCACATGCTGCCCTTCAGCCTGCTGTGGGTGTTCATGACCTTCAGCTACTCTGGTAAGGATGGTTTACAACATGGGTAAGAATGTTCAGGCTGAAGGGACTGCACACAGGCATGCGGTACTTCTCATGCAGTGAAGAGGAATTGGGATATTAGAGAAAAACAAGCATACTATGGTTTCAATTTGGTGTGTCCTGGGGTCCTAAATTAGTCTAATTCTTGTTTTTCACCATATCACAGGATCAGTTCTGTTTTCTGTTTTTTCTCACAGGATCCATTGTGCTCCACAAAGTCACTCAAACCCCTCCAGCCACATCCATGACAGAGGGGGAGGCAGTCACCATGAACTGCATGTATGAAAGCAACTTGACCACATACTACCTTTACTGGTACAAGCAACTTCCCAGCAAAAAGTTCATTTTCCTTCTTCGACAGAGTTCTAGTGAGGTGAATGCAAGTGAGGATCACTATTTAGTCAACTTCCAAAAAGAAGCTAAATCCATGAACTTCAGCATCTCAGTCCTAAGGCTAGAAGATGCTGCAAAGTACTTCTGTGCTTTCAAAATGCGCACAGTATTTCAAGTGATCGTAGAGGCAAAGCAAAAACCCCAGAGCTCAGGGAGACCCCTTGTGCTACAGAAGCCAGGCTGAAATGCACATCTGCAGATCCCAGGGAACAAATGGCAGTGACTGTGGTCTCTGGACTTAATCTGTGGTCTGGATCAGACGATTTAATTCCAAGCAAAACCTCCTTCTCTCTCATTTGGGAACAGGTGTGCAGAAGAACTTCCTTTTAATGCTAGAATTTTTGACTCAAAATAGATCATATAGAAATTGGGTGAAGTCTAAAGTTGAAAAATCCTGCTTCACAATAATTGAAAGTGGAAATTTCACTTAAAGATGCTTATAGCATAAATTTGGGTCAACTTATCTGGAATCACTAAAAAAATGATTTCCTTAGGCCTTTCCCATCAATTAGGTTACAATCAGAGATGCAGAGACATCATGAGTCATGTAGAATAAGAGATAAATAATAAGAATTTGACATCATGCACTAGCTGGAGCTGATGGACTTTCAGAGGCTGCTCAGTTGTTAATGTTTTATGAAATTATAACACTTATACTATTCTTTCAAAAATCTCACACTGAGTTTTATTTACTAATCTCTGAAGAGGATTAGGATATTCAGTCCTATTACCTTCCCAAATAAAATTTTACTTATTAGATCACTGTTCTGGAATTATTTTAAAATATAGCAACAAATACAGTTTTTACTATCTCCACCAGTGGACAGCATGGAGAATAAGGCCCTTACTACTCAAGACATTGTCAGGTGCTTTCTGGTAGCCCACAAAACTGCCAATAAAAATTCCATTTAAAAAAACTCTAATATACAAATAAAAGGATATTCATTAAAGCTGAAAGAAACAAACCATAGGCTTCCTCCTCCAGTTCACAATGCAAAGTTTTTTTAATACATAAGAAGAGAAAATGAAAAAAATCAATTCTGTTGTGTTTTAGCAATGGGAAATGTGCCCACAAGATATCAGTATATGAAGTCCCCTTAGCTCTCAAAGCTTGCTTCACTCTTTCTTCGAGCAGTTTGAAAAATGGGAGATGAAATTTGAAATGGCATTTATGTCTTCTTGTAGCAGCTTTCATTGAATGAAGACATGAAGAATATATCAGAATTCAGTGCCTAGGTTGGAATTCGTGGCCAGCATCAGAGGAGGACCATGGCAAGAATTTGAGAGGGAAGTAGAATTGGGGACATCAGGGAACCTCAGTCATGACTTTTTGGCTTCATTTGGTGTGGATTTGGGGGATTTTTGTAAAAGAACAGGAGATTCTGACCACATTCGTATAGAATAACTCAACTACTCTCGCTTGGGTTTCTTTATGGGGTGATAAAAGAAAAATACATTTCTTGCACAGATCCAGAATTTTATAAGTGAGTCTCAATATTTTCCATCAATGGAGTATAAAATGTGGCATCAGAACAATTCTAGGACACATGATCCAAATAAGTACAGTTCTCCTTATGAAGGCAACTGCACTAAATATCCTGATCTTAAAGTCATAAATAAAACACTACGTCAGAATGTTTTAGAATTAAATTTTATCCTTGTTATAATTTTATTAAAAAGCTATTATTAAATAACTTCTTAAAAAAAACAGCTTTTGAAAATTAGAACGACTGCCTTTTGCCATTTGATTTTGAAGTGGCTTTATTTACTGTGGACTGTAACTATGTCCCTAGAACTCAGTAAGGAGGGAGAACACTGGAGTTATTGTGTAGGACAGGACTGCCTTTCACAAAGTCAGAGATCTATGAGTATTTCTTTTCATTTGATTAGATACAGGATGGAGACATGCACACACACACTGAATAAATGACAAGTATGGGTATGTAGACTACCCAGAGGGTCCACTATTCATTACAAACTCTTCCCTAAACAGGTCTGCTGAATGATTCCACTGAGTCGTATCGACATACATCTACTGGGTCAACTCCATTTCCCCTCATCTCCAGCTTTCAGTATGAACATTTTCCAGCCCTCTTTTCTAGGTGCTATCTAACATAAAAACTGAGAATAGACATGTAGACATTTTTTCTCATCTCACGTGTCTGTGAACATGAGAAACCCAGTTTCCTCTGTGAGGAAGTAACATCAGAACACAGGAACTACACGTGCTCACTACTGGGTGCTCAGAGGCAGTGCAGAGTTTGAGGTAGCACGGAGCACATCAGTGCAGGGGGACACACGCCAGATGCCGCCCTTCAGCCTGCTGTGCGTGTTCATGACCTTCAGCTACTCTGGTACGGATGGTTCCCAATGTGGACAAGAATGTTCAGGGAGAAGGGACTGCACACAGGCTTGCGGTACTTCTCATGCACTGAAGAGGAATTGGGATATTAGAGAAAAACAAGCATACTATGATTTCAATTTGGTTTGTCTTGGGGTCCTAAGTTAGTCTCATTGTTACACTATGAGTAACATAACAATATGTTTTTTACTACATCAGAGGATCAGTTCTGGTTTTTTTATTTTCCCCGCAGGATCCAGTGTGGCCCAGAAAGTTATTCAAACCCCTCCAGCCACATCCATGACAGAAGGGGAGGCAGTCACCATGAACTGCATATATGAAACCAACTTCACCTCATACTACATTTTCTGGTATAAGCAACTTCCCGGCGAAGAGGTCATTTTTCTTCTTCGACAGAGTTCTAGTGCTGTGAATGCAAGCAATGATCACTATTTAGTCAACTTCCAAAAAGAAGTTAAATCCATGAACTTCAGCATCTCAGTCCTAAGCCTGGAAGACGCTGCAAAGTACTTCTGTGCTCTCACATTACTCACGGTGTTTGAAGTAATAGTAGAGGCAAAGCAAAAACCCCAGAGCTCAGGGAGAGAAAGCACCCCTTGTGCTACAGAAGCCAGGCTGAAATGCACATCTGCAGATCCCAGAGAACAAAAGGCAGTGACTGTGGTCTCTGGACTTAATCTGTGATCTAATCAGAAGATTTAATTCCAAGTAAAACCTCCTTCTCTCTCATTTGGGAACAGGTGTTCAGAAGAACTTCCTTTTAATACTAGAATTTTTGACTCAAAATAGATCATACAGAAAATGTGTGAAATTGTCTAAAGTTGAAAAATCCTGCTTCACAATAATTTAAAGTGGAAGTTTCACTTAAAGATGCTTATAGGAAAATCTGGGTCAACTTATCTGGAATGATCATCTACCAAAATGATTTCCTTAGGCCTTTCCCCTTAAGCTTGGTATCAATTAGGTTATACTTAGAGATGCAGAGACACCATGATTCATGTAGAGTAAGAGATCAATGATAAGAATTTGACATCACACACTAGCTAGAGCTGATGGACTTTCAGAAGCTGTTCAGTTGTTCATGTTTTATGAATTATAACAGTTATAATATATTATTCTTTCAAAAATCTGACACTGAGTTTTATTTACTAGTCTCTGAAGAGGATCAGCGTTTTCAATCTTGTTGCCTTCACAAGTACAATTTTACTTATTAGATCACTGTTTAGAATTATTCTGATTTCACTTTTTCAATCCTACTGATCCAAAGTATTCAATCTCCCTGGTTCAATTATCTGGCTACACATGTTTTATGTGTAAAATATAGTCATGGTAAGCATACCAGGCATCTCTGTGGTACAATTCACAACCTAGTCCTTGTCCTATGTAACACTGTTACATCACTCATGGTGTCTCTGCATCTCTGATTGTAACCTCATTGATACAAAGCTTAAGGGGGAAAGGGCTATCATTTTTGTAGTGATTCCTGATAACTTGACTCAATTCACAATCTAGTCCTTGTCCTATGTAACGCTGTTATCTTTGCATCTGGTATTGAGCCTGATTTCACTACAGGTCAGCTAGACTAACATCTGAGAAGCAAAGTTGAATATGGGCAAGAGGATGAACAAAATGTGACATACCATCCACATGCACTTCTTTTAGCAAAATTTAACTTTCAAATAAAGACAATAGAAAATGGCTGCTTCTTGCTAATGTGATGCAATTATTTTTTATTCAATTAAAAACATGTTAACCTCTCCCTTAAGAAGGATACAAAGTTCATTTACCCATCTTTGGGTTCTATTCTTTCCTCTTCTTGCTCTCACATTGATATCAGGCAGCTTAACTACTGAAATAAAATATATTTCATTAATTAAGATGAATTGAGATGTAAGATTAACTTATCAACACAGCTTTTGCTTCTACGTGTAGGTATATGGGGGAGAGTAAAAAATGGTTAATATGTACTTAAATATACTCATGTAATGATGAGAAAGAAATTTTCATAACACTGTAGTTCTTTTTTCTACACATGATCACTTTGTCACTTAGGCTGGAGTACAGTAGCCTCATCATAGCTCACTGTAACTTCAAACTCCTGGGTTCAGGAGATCGTCCTGCCTCAGCTTCCTAGGTAGTTGGGACGATAGGCATGCATCACTGTGCTCAACTAATTTTTCTATTTTTTGTAGATACGGGCTCTCACTCTAGCCAACTCCTGGTCTCAAACAACCCTCCTGCCTTGGTTTCCTAAAGAGTTAGGATTACAGAAATGAGCCTCTGTGCTTAGTCCTGTAATTGGTTTTTATAACTACCTTTTCCATTACCCATTTAATAATCTCTATATTCTCAGCAAGTGCATTCACTCACTGGCACATTCGACTTTCTATAAAACAAGCTCCTTGGTCAAAAGCAACGCCATCGGAAAACCATAAAGTTGGATAAGGAATTCTGTCAGCCCACTACTATGGTTTTGGCAGAAACATTACAGGCATAGAAAACAAGTTCATGTCCTCAGCCTTTATTTAAATAGAAAAAAACTCCCACAAGACACCAAACAATTTTATACCTAACAACCAGAGAGAGTTGATACACTGTGTTCTGGGAAGATGATGCCTTGCTTCTTATCAAATCAGTACAAGTCAATGAAGAAAAAGTTTTTTTCAAGTGTTTAATCAAAATAAGCAAACTTTCAGGCCAGGAGCGGTGGCTCAGTCCTGTAATCTTAGCACTCTGGGAGGTCAAGGCAGGTGGATTGCCTGAGCTCACAGGTTGGAGACCAGCCTGAGCCAGAGCAAGACCTTTTCTCTAAAACTAGCCAGGTGTTGTGCCTGGTGCCTGTCGTCCCAGCTACTCAGGAGGCTGAGGCAAGAGAATTGCTTGAGCCCCAAAATTTAAGGTTGCTGTGAGCTATGATGTGACAGCACTCTACTGAAAATGACAAAGTAAGACTCTGTCTCAAAATAAAATAAGCAAACTTTGAAGCTAGTTTCCTATGAACATGCAAATATAAACCATCCTTGTTAAAAAGATCACTGTGAAGAAGGTAGAAAGTCAATGCATAGATGGGAAAACTGTATTTGCCCTGGCATATTTCTTAAAAAGACCTCAAATACAAATATATGGAAACTTTATATATATTAAAAAGAAATGAAACAACTGATGAAAAAATGACAAAAATTTGAACAGATATAAATTATCAAAATATGATGTAGAAATATATCAATAGTAATAAGCATACAAAAACCAGTTACTATCATTACTCATTAGGGAAATGAAAAATAAAACCCCATTTGAGTGTTGTATCTGTGTCCCTTAAGCATCCCAAATGTATTAATGTATTCAGGAGGAGGTGACCCTTACCAGGACAGAGAAAAATAATGATTACCCTCCAAGGAAAGGGATGGTTGAATATGTTTTCTAGAAACTTCCGTTAGTGAACCCATGGACAGAGAAAAAAAGGTAGTAATGGGCCAGAGACCTGAACAAAGAAGGAAAGGCAGGTTTTACCAAGGAAAGATAAGTTTGTATTTATTAACTACTCTACATGTCAGGCACTGCTTTACACATTTGCGATTCATTAAACTTAAACGTCATAAACTCTATGAGATATATTTTATTGTTCCCATTTGTTTTCTATTTGGTAGATGAGACATAGCTTTCCTTAACTTTGAAAAACATGTCTAACTTTTGTCAGCCAGAGTGTAGTCCCTTAGAAGCCTCCAAAAGAGCAAGGTTTGGACTATGGAGAAGACTTAGCCTCAGAACACAGAGTTGGCTGTCTCCGTGAGGGAGACAAGATGCCACACCTAGGCTTTAGATGAGGAAATCATCAATTGACAGGTTAACAATGCTCAACACGTTAGCGAGTCTTTTCTACAACAGCGTCCTGGGAGTTCAGGGGCCAGAGCGAAAGACAAGAACAATACTCCTTAAATTCTGCGGTCAGTTTCCACATCAGGATGTTGCCCTTTACCTTTGCTCTCTCAACCTCTAACCCTATTCCCCCAAATGTCTTCCCTTCCTTTATGTCTTTACTCACATGTCACCTCTTTGTGAATCCTTTATCAAAAAACTTTCTACTTTCCTTCTTTGAGAGTCAGGTGGCAGCTTACGTCTTGCGTGGAGAATTGAAGGGTTCTTTACCGAAGTGCTGCCACCTGGTGTCTGGCTGAATTGCCTGATGAGACTTGCCTGGCCTCCCTGCTGCTCCCCTGTGGTGAAGGGTTGGGTCGTGGCAGAGCCTAGTCACTATAGGGCCTATATTTCCTATCCACGGCAGAGACGGTGGGAGTGAGGACTCAGGAGGACTGGCTGGTTTTTCATCTCTTGCCCTGAGGATGTGAAGGTATTGGCTTGAAAAAGACAAATATATGACATCATTTAGGCCAGTAAGATGCCTTGGAAATAAAGTTTGGTGTTGTTCCCAAAGTGGGAGGTCTTTATCTGTTAAGATTGTGTCTACAGCACTGTCCTTTATTGTATAGGAATATCCTGAAAAGTGAGAGCAAGAGTCAATGATGGAGAAACATAAGCCATTGTAGGGAATACTGCGTGGTATACTTCCCCCCATGTTATATGTTAATGCCAATGTCTTCCCAATATAGTGTGCTGATACACTGACTTCCCATCAAAAGTAAGAAACATGGCCAGGCACTGTGGCTTACGCCTGTAATCCTGGTACTCTGGGAGACAGAGCTGGGTGGATCTCTCAAGTTCAGGAGGTCAAGAACAGCCTGAGAAAAGTGAAATTAGGTCTCTAAAAATAGCTGGATGTGTGTGCACTGCCTATAGTCCCAGTTACTTGGGAGGCTGTGGCAAGATTACTTGAGCCCAAGAGTATGAGGTTGCTGTGAGCTATGATGCCATAGCACTCTACTGATGGCAACAAAGTGAGACTGTATCAAAAAAAAAAAAAAAAGAAAGAAAGAAAAGAAACATTTAGAACATAGAAATTTATGATAATACATGAAATCCTCTAGCCGGGCGTTGTGGCAGGCGCCTGTGGTCCCAGCTACTTGGGAGGCTGAGACAGTAGACTCGCTTGAGCCCAGGAGTTGGAGGTTGCTGTGAGCTGTGATGCCATGGCACTCTACCCAGGGGGACAGCTTGAGGCTCTGTCTAAAAAATAAATAAATAAATAAATAAATACATGAAATCCTCTATATAAATTTCAAATTACACTTCATGCAAATACTGAGCTTTATCTTGTGGCTAGACTCCACTCCATTTTCAGACCATGTCTCCCTGAACCCACAATATTTTCTATACTAAATACATCTGGTCGAGTGCCTAAGACAGTGAAGTTATCTTACCAAGTGATTTAATACCTGTTCTCCTTTAATTCCTACTGGACACAGCAAGGTTTGTAACATCCTCCTTTAGGAAGGCAATGTACCAAAGGTCTTGAGACCATAGGCTTGGATTGGATTTCTAGATCTAATACACATTATTGAATAATCTCGGGAAAATTGCTTAATACTTTTTACGCCTTAGTTACCTCATCCTTACAATGTGGGTGTCCATAGTTTCCACTACAAAGGGTTATTTTGAGAAGTAAGTGAAATGATGAATGCCAGTGCTTAGCCTACTACCAACAAAAAGCTACTGGTTCTTTACAGAAAAGGAAATTGAATATGAAAGGAGTCAAATATCTTGCCTTGCATCACAAAGTAAGTGTCAGA